CTCTGTAACAAAGCACACACGAAGCCCCTTTGGGTCTCATCCCTTATTGTTCTATAGTTGGGTAAAAAGATTTCGAGTACCATCAATGAGAAAACGTATTCCCATGGGCAGTGGTTGATAACCTATCACTGGGTCAATGGAGCAATCCATCTTCAATCGATAAAAGTACCATGAGTATCAACTAGATCTTTAAAGTTATTTCAAGTCAGGTTCAAATATTGGAAATGGGATGATTTCCCAAAATGAAATGTTGCTCTCAATTTCCGGAGAATACAATATGTTTTCTCTCATAACTTGGACAATAAATTAATCTCATGGGCTTAGTTTAGTGGTCTAACAATAAACAAGATGTAAATCTGTAGTTCTACCCGTTGATTACATTAATGCACTAGATTGCAATTGATTACGTGAACTCTAAATTTATGTTATAGTCACGAGTCTAAAGTATATGTAATTGAGACAATAGCTTCATTAAAGCTATATCACAATAAAATAGAGCAGTATGATGTATCTATAAAAAGACTAATTGAACTTGAAAGATAGTAAAGTGTGCGTCTCTCGAAAGAAGAAAGTGGAAAAAGAAAACTAGCAGAATTGGCTAAAAAAATGGTGTATCCAGTGCAAGGCTCCCATCATTACAGAGTTTAGAGAGAATTAGATGTACGCAACCTTATTCCTACAAGTAAAAAGACTGTTTCGACTTGTTTTTGTTGATTTGAGAAGCCACATCAAAATAAGCAACAAAGACTACATGGTTTCTGATGGATAGTCAAAAAAAAAAAAAATGGCTGCTCATCATGTTCTAAGTAAGCTGTAGCTGTTTTGCTTCAAGTGTGCCTGTGGAATCTCCCCCCCCCCCCCCCCCCCTCTCCCCCTACCCATTTGGGTTCCAAGGACCACTCTACATCATGCTCCTCATCTTCTGAAACTATAAATTCATCTGAGGCACATCACAAAAGCAATATAATGCATCTTTAAAGGAGTAATTATGAAAAATAAAATAAAAAAATCAAGAAGTTTGTTTCTCTTTATATAGTTAAAAACAGATTCTCTTACTCACTTGAATCGACACCAAAACATTCAAAGATTGGTTTCCCATCACCATCAAGCTAGATTCAGCTTTAAATATCTTTTGGCCTTTTGATTGCCAGAATACCTCACATAGTCACGTGCTGCCCAGTAATTATGCAATTCATGAAAGAAATTCAAAGAAGCAAGATCGATCTCTAGCATAGCTTTCAATTTCGAGAGAGATCAGTACTCGTTCTCGTAATATATGCAATAATTTTCGGGGCTATCATGTAGTCTGTAGCTTCAATACAGCTGGTTTTTTTTTCTGGGAGAAAACTGACAAAAAAAGGCCATTGACAATGAAATATCGAAAGGTGGTTTCTCATCATGGTCCTAGGGAATCTATTTTATGTATATTTTGTTGACTTGTGATTGTTAGATCACTTTCAGGCACTGTGTAGAAGGAAAGAAAAAATGATATTTTCTATAGTAAGATTGATTTTTTAGGCGTTTATGGCTAGTGCATCCTTAAAACAAATATTGGAAATGGGATGATTTCCCAAAATGAAATGTTGCTCTCAATTTCCGGAGAATACAATATGTTTTCTCTTCATAACTTGGACAATAAATTAATCTCATGGGCTTAGTTTAGTGGTCTAACAATAAACAAGATGTAAATCTGTAGTTCTACTCGTTGATTACATAAATGCACTTAGATTGCAATTGATTACGTGAACTCTAAATTTATGTTATAGTCACCGGTCTAAAGTATATGTAATTGAGACAATCGCTTCATTAAAGCTATATCACCATAAAATAGAGCAGTATGATGCATCTATAAAAAGACTAATTGAACTTGAAAGATAGTAAAGTGTGCATCTCTCCAAAGAGGAAAGTGGAAAAAAAAACTAGCAGAATTGGCTAAAAAAATGGAGTACCCAGTGCAAGGCTCCTATTATTACAGAGTTTAGAGAAAATTAGATGTACGCAACCTTATTCCTACAAGTAAAAAGACTGTTTCGACTTGTTTTTGTTGATTTGAGAAGCCATTTTTTTTTATAGAAAGCCATGCCTCTTGTACTCACCCCTTTCCCACTACCGCTGCTTTTGGTGCTGCTAGCTCCACCCATTCAACCGGCCGGATCTACTGAATCAACAGAGTCGACTAAATCGATATCAACATTATGTTCCCTCTAACGATCAAAAAATTCATAATCCTTCCCATCCATGGTAATACCAAAAAGAAAACGGGTAAGAACTCAAATGTACAACATAATGCCCATACTACTTAGGTTGCCACTTATGCCCGTACGTCTGCTGATTCAGTAGATCATATAAATTATACTATTCATCAATTAACTCAAATTAGCATGTCTGCTGCGTAAGGTATGATCATGTTTGCACAAACATAAGAAATCAAAGTCATTCAACATTCGAGCAGCAAATCAATACCAATAGGGTTGGTAGGCACATTTCTACTCAACATGGCTCTTTGCGAATCTATGGCATTTCCGTTCGGATAAGGGAAAACTCCAGAGATTGCTTCAAAGTAAGATTCTTGTGTTGACCCTTTCCTGAACCAGAACCGAGGGAGGGTGAGAGGAAAAGGGGATCCAAATTTCCCATAAATAAAGTGAGGGCATCCGCCGACCTGTCACTTTGCTTTATGACATATGTTCCTTAGCTTGCTTGCATCTTTAGTGATTGCGCCTTCTCTAATGCCCCAACCTTCTAAAAGATAAGGCGACGAAAATGTTCTCCGAAAGGCTTTCCTTTCTGCTTTACTGTGGTTTACCCATAACCATCAGCGGCAAGGGTTACGGAAGAGGCCAAACCAACCCAAGTATATCACAAATAGATAGGGTTGGAGCAGCAGATCCTATAGAAACAAAGACAAAGCTCGAGGAAACCCCAGCGACCAAGCACTCCAGCCCCCAAAAGCGGAGACCGAAGAACCGCCAGGTTGTCGAGGACACGTTTGAAGAGGGGGCACCCTCTAAGTCCATTCATTAGGGTTGGGGATGGATGAAACCAACCAGAAGTGATAATCGCGCAAGCGAAGCCGGGAAAGGGACCGCAGCGCAACGACTAGGACTCGGGTGCCTTCGGGAACGCGGACACAGGTGGTGCATGACTGTCATCAGCTCGTGCCGTAAGGTGTTGGGTAGTCAGCGACTTTGACCAGTATTTTTGTATTTCTGCTTGATGAGCCGTACGAGATTCAATTTTCATATACGACGGGGTTGTTCTTATCATTAAGAAGCCGATACAACTTATCCTTTTGGAGCTAACGTAACAAACTACGCGAGCCCCCCCCCCCCCCCCCCCCATTTGGGTTCCAAGGACCACTCTACATCATGCTCCTCATCTTCTGAAACTAGAAATTCATCTGAGGCACATCATAAAAGCAATATAATGCATCTTTAAAGGAGTAATTATGAAAAATAAAATAAAAAAATCAAGAAGTTTGTTTCTCTTTATATAGTTAAAAACAGATTCTCTTACTCACTTGAATCGACACCAAAACATTCAAAGATTGGTTTCCCATCACCATCAAGCTAGATTCAGCTTTAAATATCTTTTGGCCTTTTGATTGTCAGAATACCTCACATAGTCACGTGCTGCCCAGTAATTATGCAATTCATGAAAGAAATTCAAAGAAGCAAGATCAATCTCTAGCATAGCTTTCAATTTCGAGAGAGATCAGTACTCGTTCTCTTAATATATGCAATAATTTTCGGGGCTATCATGTAGTCTGTAGCTTCAATACAGCTGGTTTTTTTTTCTGGGAGAAAACTGACAAAAAAAGGCCATTGACAATGAAATATCGAAAGGTGGTTTCTCATCATGGTCCTAGGGAATCTATTTTATGTATATTTTGTTGACTTGTGATTGTTAGATCACTTTCAGGCACTGTGTAGAAGGAAAGAAAAAATGATATTTTCTATAGTTTATGGCTAGTGCATCTTTAAAAGACCAATCTCATTTAAAATGATAGTACAGTGTGCTTCTGTTGAAACGTAAAACGAATTGAGTCTTTCTTACATGCAATTATTACCTGTGGCCTTGGCCTATAAGAACCCCCCTCACTTACCACATAGGAGTCATGCTATCCTTGAAAAAAAAATCCATAGAAACAACCTAAAACTCCCCAGTTGGCTTTCATTTCTTCTCAAATATTTTTTTCCTTCTCTCCACTCTTCTTCATCCTCTTACTCATTTTCCTTTATGAAACCCAATATTTATGCATATTAGGGGTAATCCGTGACTGAAGGCACGGTAAAAATTTTAAGAATTTTTTAAACTTGCCCCCACTAAAACTTTGTTAAAATATAAGGTATATTAATATAATTTTTAAATCCTTAAAATTCAATTTTGGCAGCTCCAGCTCCTTCTCATTTTTCATCACCTGTGTTTTTTTTTTTTACCCGTAAGTCATTTTCGTAGTGGGTCCAACTTCCAGTCCAACCCTCTTTTTTTTTTTTATTTAAGTTTCTTTGTTACTTTTTTTTGGTGTATTTATCAACTAATTAGCCAAGGAGAGATAAATCAGCCAACAAATCAGCCCCTTGTCTTTGTTTGTTCTTTTGGTGAATTCAATCGTTGTCCAAATTAAATTTGAACAAACCCTAGAAGATTATGTTGAAGCCAAGGAGAAAGGTAATTCATTAATCAAATTTTTTGATAGAAATATTAGCACTAATTTAAAATTAGATTTTTTATATTAAAAAATTAGTCTAGTACCTGTAGAATTGATGGTTGTTGTGTGAAGCTTTTTTGTTGTCTTTTTTTGTACATCACTCATATATATGAGTTGCCCATCTAAATGACATTCTTTTGACGTAATTATGCTTATAAACAATTGATCAAGAATACATATTTTGATGAAAACAATGTTACAATTATACTTTTGTTTTATCTGGAAAAAAAAAAGTTACAAAGTTTTTAAATTTTAATAGGGGCAACCAAAATTCTTGAATTTCAAAATTACAATTATACTTTGAAATTTAAGAATTTAAATTGCTCCCACTGAGGCAAAATTCTGACTCCGCCCCTGTTTGACAGTCTAACTGAAGATCTCTATAGCCATAGCCAATCCCATGGCCACAACACACTGCTTCAACAGTAGTTTCGCGGGATTGGCCATGGCTATAGAGATTTGCAGTTGTGATTGTCACCACAATGGAGAATGCTGTAGGAGATGACGTATGCTCCACTGCCTTTGTTGCATCCGGAGGTGCCTTTGTTGCTGTTGAAAGGGGCATCGTTGTAGCATGCTCCGCTGGAAATCAGTGGCCTGAGCCGTGTTCTGTTGTTAATACGGCACCATGGAAAACCAATGTCGGTGCAAGATCCATTGAACGCACTATCCCAGTACAGGTCCTGCTTGGAAATGGCATGTGCTATATTGGCTGTTCTCTTTATCCCGATAATCTATCTAATGTTTCACTTAACAGTCAAGATTGGTTCAATTTTCCTCCACTTTAATCCAATGGCATAAAATTCGTCACAAATTCTCATTAATCTACATCTCTCCCTCACCTCTCTCTAATTTTTTTTTTATTTACGTTAATTTTTAATTGTGCAATTAAAGAAAAGAGAAAAAAAATTATTTAAAATATAAATATTACACAATTAATATTCAATTTTTTGTGTCACAGAGTCCTCAGACACGTAGTTTTTTGCTAGTATAAACTATATCATGACTTATCTGCCCGTCTATCCCACTGATTGCAGGTCTTTGGTCACCCTTAGAGCTAATATCACTGGGAAGATTGTTGTTTGCAGCATCATGACTGTAACTATTGGGTTTCTGGTGCAGGCAGCCAGTGGTGTTGGATTTATCAAACTGAACACATGTTTAAACTCAGCTTTTCATTCATTTATCAGCAAATAGCATCTTTTGCTCCTTCTGTTCCTCCAACATGACTGTCATATGATACTAGGAGGGGGTCAGACTATAATATCGAATTTTTATTTTTGGTATGCTACTGACATTTCATTTGGGCCATTAATGTAATTTTTTTATTTTTGTACCCGTTGATCAGTTTGAAAAGTGAGATACCGGTTATCTGCTAAATCGGTAATGGAAAAGAGTAGGACTTGACAAATAACCTCACCTAAAAAAGTTGGAACTGCTACCCAAAAAAGTTGAAACTCTCCCCAAGAGTTGGAACCCTATCCAAAAAAGTTGGAACCCCTGCCCCAAATAGTTGGAACTCCTACCCAAAAAAGTTGGAACCTACTCCAAAAAAGTTGAAACCCTTACCCAAAAAAATTAGAACCCCTCCCCTCAAGAGTTGGAACATCTACCCAAAAAGTTAGAACATCAACCGAAAAAGTTGGAACCCCTATCCAAAAAAATTAGAACTCACTCCAAAAAGTTGGATCCCCTATCCCTAAAAGTTAGAACCTCTACCCAAATAAGTTAAAATCCCTACCAAAAAAAAATTGGAACTTCCCCCAACTGTTAGAACCCACCCATAGAGTTGAAACCTCCAAAAAAGTTGAAATCCTCCCTACAAGAGTTAGAACCTCTACCCAAAAAAATTGGAACCCCTATTCAAAAAAAATTAGAACTCCTAACCAAAAAAGTTAGAACCTAACCCAAAAAAATTGGAACCCCTATCCAAAAAACTTGGAACCTTTACCCAAAAAAATTGGAACCCCTACCAAAAAAAGTTGGAATCCTCCCTCAACTGTTAGAACCCACTTGAAGAGTTGGAACCTCAAAAAAAATTAGAACCCACCACTCAAGATTTGGAACCTCTAGCCAAAAAGTTGGAACTTATCAAAAAAAGTTGAAACCTTAACAAAAAAAGTTGGAAACCCTACCCCAAAAAAGTTGGAACCCCTACCAAGAGTTGAAACCTTTACCCAAAAAGTTAGAATTATATCCAAAAAAGTTGAAAACCACCCCAAAAAAGTTGGAACCCTGCCTAGTTGTAACCTTTATCCAAAAAAGTTAAAATCTTTACCCAAAAAAGTTGGAACCCTCTCTCAAGAGTTGGAACCTTTATGAAAAAAATGAAACTCAATCCAAAAATATTATAACCCTGACTCAATTGGTTGGAAGCATTATTTACAATTATTGTAATTGTTTGATTTTATTCATTATTTATTTGTTGTTAATAAAAAATGGGACTATTTATAAAATATTGAATATTTTTGGATTAGGATTTTTTTCGATCTAGCTTATCCAAGTCACCCCAAAAAATTGAAATCCAATCCAAAAAAAGTTATAACCTAGTTGGAAACATTATTTATAATTTTTTTAATTATTTAATTTTATTCATTATTTATTTGTTGTTTATACAAAATGGGACTATTTATAAAATAATAAATATTTTTGGACATTTTTTTGATTTAGCTAATCTGACTCACCTAAAAAATTGAAACTCAATTCAAAAAAAGTTATAACCAAACCAAATAGTTGGAAACATTATTTACAATTCTTTTATTTATTTGTTGTTAATAAAAAATATTGAATATTTTTGGACAATAGGATTTTTTTGATCTAGCGAATCGGAGTCACCCAAAAAATTGGAACCCAATCCAAAAATATTATAACCTGACCCAAATAATTGGAAGCATTATTTATAATTCTTTTAATTTTTTGATTTTATTCATTATTTATTTGTTGTTAATAAAAAATGAAACTATTTATAAAAAATTTGAATATTTTTGAAGATTTTTTTGATTATTTAAGGGATAAAAGTGTTATAGTTAAGGGATAAAAGAAATAAAAGTGTGATAGTTAAGAGATAATAGGGATAAAAGTGTGATATTTACCCAGGATCGGTCTCCCGTTTCTTGGACCGGTCCTAATTCTTCACATTATAAATTACACTTACTCCCCACATGTTACAATATATTATTTTTTTATTTTCTAAACGAATATTCTGGTTCACTAATCACAAAAAACCTTATCTCTTCCTCTAGCCACTTTTCCACCTAAATGACTGTTACTGTTGTTGCCTTTCCTCCATCTCTTTCACCATACAAAAAATATTTGTTTATTTGGTTTAGGTTTTTTTGAATCTGCGAGTGAATGAGTATTGTGAAACTCTATTACTTTTTTTTTGGGTGAACATTGTCTTTGATAATCCTCTATTGGTGATCCAAGTCTTGACTAGTTCAGATATAATGTAACTGAATGTTTTTTTTTTGAGTTCATAGTGTAATTTATATGGTAGAGTCATTTTTGTGGTTAATGGTTTATTTTATGTTTAGGGTGAAGAAGGAACATGAAGTTGAAGCTACTAGGGTGAAGAAGGAACATAAAGCTGAAGCTATTAAGTCATCTTGCCCAACAAACTCCTGGCTTTTTTACTAGTGGGGGATTTTTTTTAATCTAAAGGCTAAATTATTTGTGTTGATCTTATTTTTTATTCATACGATCTAATCGATGCATATTTTCACTATAGCAAGGATTGTCTGAAGACAATCAAAAGGAAGGAAATTAAAAAATTGGACCATGGAGTATAAATGATATTATGTTGATCTTTATTTTTTATTTCAATGATCTTATTAATGCTTGTTTCCATTATACCAAGGACTGTTTGTCTTCATCTCATATACAACCTTTCGCTACTCGATCATCAGGCCGTGAAAGAACTTGGCATCCAATGGAAGAATTTGAAAAATGACAAGAAAAAAAAAATATTTAGAAATGGCCAAGTCGTCAAAAGAAGAGTATTATAGTCATAAAGAGAACTCTAACAAAAAAGAAAAGGTTCAAAACCATAATATTAAATGATTTATCTGTTTTTATCTATTTTTTTTTTCTTATACAACTGTTTGAAATTACATCTCGGAACAAGATGTTCTCCAGGAATGATCGTGAAACTAATACAAAGGTTAAGTGAAGCACAAAAAAAGGTAGTTAAAGATATTGGATTTGGAGGCTTGTTAGGGCTCAAATGTAAAGTACTGAAAAGATATTTGTGCGCTTGGTTGGTTAAACAGTTTGACCCGATATCATGTGTTTTGAACAGAAAATCCCTTAAGTTGTCTCCAATGGATGTGGAATACATATTGGGATAGACGTGGAAACGAGTGACCCAGCCAAAAAAATAAATTTGGTGTTAATTTGAAGAATTGAATATTAATTTGGTATTAATTTGATGAATTGAATATTAATTGGATGAAATTGAATCTTAATTTGATGAATTCAATTTTAAATAGTTAATTTAAATGTTAATTTATTGAATTAAATGTTTATTTAATTTTGTGTTGATTTGATGAATTAAATATTTATTGAATGGATTTTTATATTACATTGGTGTTGGTTTGATAAATTTAATTTTTATTAAATAATTTTAGATATTAATTTGATGAATTGAGTGTAAATTGGATGAATTTGAATATATATTGGAAACATTGAATGTTATTTTAGTGTTAATTTGAAAAATTAAAATTTTATTGGATAAAATTGAATGCTAAGTTAATTTGATGAATTAAATGTTTATTAGATAGGATTGAATGCGAATTAAATGGATTGAATATTAATTTTGTGTTAATTTGATGAGTTAAATGTTAGTTTAGCGTTGATTTGAAGAATTGAATGTTAATTTGGTATTAATTTGATGAATTGAATGTTAAGTAATTAATTTAAATGTTAATTTAATGAATTTAAACCTCTACAACCTATTTTTTTGGAAGGGATAAAGGATAAAAGTTTTAAAGTGTAATATGAAAGGGATAAAGTGTAATAAGATACACAGGATCGGTCAACCATTCCTAGGACCGGTCTTAATTTAAATTACACTTACACCCCTAAATTATAATAATATTTTTATTTTTTCTTATCCCAATCCAAAATTCTATAAACTAACAATCAATTGATTAAATTAATATTCAATTTCATCAAATTAATATTTAATTCATCAAATTAATACCAAATTAACATTTAATTCATCCAAATAAATATTCAATTCATCAAATTATCACTAAATTGACATTCAATTCATCAAATTAACACTCAATTTATCAAAATTAATATCCTAAATAATCCAATAAAAATTTAATTTATCAAATCAACCAAAGTAATATGAAAATTAATCAAATAAAATCAACATTACATTTCATCTAATAAACATTCAATTAATAAAATTAACATTTAAATTCAACTATTATCATTAAATTCATCCCATACATATTTATTTGTCAAATTAACACCAAATTTATGTTCAATTGATGAAATCAATACCAAATATATATATTCAATTCATTCAATTTATATTAATTTGGTGTTAGCTTGGTAAACTGAATGTTAATTTAGTATTGATTTGATAAATTGAAGGTTAATTTGGTGTTAATTTAATGAATTAAATATTTACTCAATAAATTTCTGTATTACATTGGTGTTGGTTTGATAAATTAAATTTTATTAGATGATTTTGGATGTTAATTTGATGAATTGGATGTTAATTGGATGATTTTGAATATAAATTGGATGAATTGAATGTTAGTTTAGTATTAATTTGAAGAATTGAATATTTATTTGATAAATTGAATATTAATGTTGTGTTAATTTGATTAACTGATAGTTCATTTAATGTTAATTTGAAGAATTGAATATTAATTTGGTGTTAATTTGATGAATTAAATATTAATTTGATGAAATTGAATCTTAATTTGATGAAATTGAATCTTAATTTGATGAATTTAATTTTAAATAGTTAATTTAAATGTTAATTTAATGAATTGAATGTTTATTATACGAAATGTTAATTTGGTGTTAATTTGATAAATTAAATATTTATTGAATGAATTTTTAAATTACATTGGTGTTGTTTGATAAATTTAATTTTTATTAGATGATTTTGGATGTTAATTTGGTGAATTGAGTGAAAATTGGATGAATTTTAATATATATTGGATAAATTGAAAGTTACTTTAGTGTTAATTTGAAAAATTAAAATTTTATTGGATGGAATCAAATGTTAGGTTAATTTGAAAAATGAAATGTTTATTAGA